GGAAATCCTGGCATCAGTATATTCTATGGTAGTATATATGTAGGTATCTGCTTCCATATACATAAAAAAACTCAAAGCCTAACTCTTATGCCAACATCTACGGCTATATTTCTTTATAATACAACAATTCCCATTAACGTATAGGTGAAAGTGTTGTAATAACAATATAATATTAAAACATAGAATAGACGTAGATAATTTATTGTTAATGTAATCGTGACAGATGTTAATCATGACAAGTTATTTAGATGATAAAAGCCTATGATGGTAAGAGGTATCATACCACAGTAAGTTAATCAGTCTGTCTTAAGAAATCTGTCGATATAAGATTAAATATTTTCGTATGTACATGTATATAGCTACTACATATATACATACGAGAGTACTTATTCTATATAGAAATAATAATCAAATCTATAGTAATTAAGGATATAGGGTACTATAGAGAACTCCACCTATCCTACTATCCTGTTATGTCCTCTTAAATCACTATCCACTAGTTAAGTCTAGATCTTAAGATGGGGTATCTCAATACAAACGTTTTGCCAAAACAGGCCATTTGTTTTTTTTGTTTCAACAGGAATATTACAATGCATATATATTTATCCTACTAATATTATAAATTTAAAAGATTGTAAAGATGTTTGTTACTTAATTACGCTTAAAAGGCTAAACGGAATTTGAAAAAATTTTATACATTAGTACTTATATACCTACTAAATCAATACATATAATGATTTTTAAATATTTTTATTTTTAAATAACTATTTTAATTTTTTATTGTTTTTGTATTTCTATTTATTTGCTCATCACGTCGCACCGTCAATTATATATTCTGTTATTTTGTCTATGGTCGCCTGGTAGAAAACGACATATGGTGTTAAGTCCGCCTTTTACACTATCTAAGTATATTAAAGTTTAATAAATAAATAAATACTTTATATACAGTCAGAAACAGTTAATATTGTAAATGTAAAAATTTGTAAAGATTTTTTAATGTATGTATGTTACGCAATCACGCTTAAACGATGAACACATGTCATTTTAATAAAATACTTGAGTAAGCTACAGCCTATTCGTTTGATATATCCAAACTTAACATTTACGAAGCCTTGGAATATAGCTAGTTAGCTAGCTAGTACACATAAGTAAGAAATATATATATAATGTAAAGTTAAGATGTAAAATAAAATGATACAACGTTCTTACATCTTTATTTGAATGAACGAAGTAAACAAAGCGTAATAATTCATATTGATTGATATCTGAGAATAGACTTAAAATATGTATTCGTTTTTAGAAACATTGGAAGTGGCAGCTACTTTGATTAATATACATGTACAAAATATGTAAGCAGTTTATATGGGTACATATTTTTAGGTTCAATTTCCGTACAATATAAATATTTTGTATTAGTGAGCCCCCATATTTGTATTAGCTGATATTGGAATGTTATATATATATATATATATATATATATATATATATATATATATATATATATATATATATATATATATATAAAATATGTATGTACTAACCTATATATTTACAATAAAAAAATTCAGTACTTATTTCTATTACTTGTCTATTTCTCATCATCATCATTCTCTGCTAGGTGTGGGACTAGATGGCTCTGTGAATAAGAACAAGGGTATTTATTTCCTTAAATTACATTAATGTAAAATATCATGTAAATAGTATCTATTTGTTTTTCCCAATATTAATAAAATATGTTTATAAGCATTTCTATTTATCTGTATACGAAACAAAAAAATCATATTGTGCCACAAACAACCACTTCAATTGATCTAGTGATATTAAATTATAGTTTTATTTTGTGTCTATAGTGAGGCGGCAAGAGCGCATATGTCGTGCACATCTGTCCCAAGCCAAGGCAAGGCAGCCAGCTATCTCGCATGCTTATTATACAAAGTAGCGCACGGGCCGGCCACTACTCACAGGATGTTATATTTTAAACAGGTAAATATTGCGTAACGATGGAATAAGACAACAATATGTCGAATTTTGTTCATTCCCAGATTACCGGTAAAAGGAAATCTGGAAAAGATTTTAAACTAAGCCTATTTTTTACGGGATCAAAATGTAATAGTAACCCCACCTGCACTATTGTTATATATTGGAAAAGTAGCAGTGAGCTATAAAATGAAGTGAGGTCAGTTACCGCGTGGAAGTCGACCAGACAGGATAGACTGCTAGCAATGGGACTGGACTTTATTACGGTCAATCATCTTACCTCCTTATCAAGCTCATGTGGTAATAAGTGGTAGGCACATCTTTTTGGTACTTTAAAAGCATGAATATTAATAAATTATTATAAAAAATATAGACTTCATCATCTTCCTACCCTATCCCAACTATCATTTGGGGTCGGCGTAATATGTTTTCCTCTTCCATTCTTTTCTATTCCCAGTCATTTCCGCATTCACTCCCATTCTGGCCATATCGTCCCTCACACAATCCATCCATGTCTTTTTAGGTCTTCCTCTCCTCTTATAGCCATCTACTTTCATTCTTAATACTTTTTTTAAAATATGCTCCTCATTCCTGCGCATCACGTACCCATACCAGGATAAACGGTTACTTCTTAACTTTTCTATCACTGGCGCTACTTTCATACTTCCTCTGATATAATCATTCTTAATTTTGCCCATTCTTGTCACTCCGCACATCCATCTCAACATCCGCATCTCAGCTACAATAAATATACAAAAAATATATAGAATTATAGTAAGTATATTAGTCTTGTAGGTAATTCGTAGATAAGATTCGTTAATTTCTTCAAATACCTATCTTATATGGACTTTCAATCAAACAAAAAGATGTCAATATATCTCACAGTAAAAAAAAATGTTATGATATTTGTCCGGCCATTTACCTAAGATTTATTACACAAAAGTTATGGAACAAATTTTAGCGAGATTTTCACGGTTCACCACAACTTAATTACTTTGGCAATTAAGTTTACATGAAACATATAAAAACAGGAACAGGAATTAAAAGAACCATAAGGATACCTCTTATGCATAGACGTTACAGTATATCTTGTGATGTTTATAAAAAAATATCTAAATAATACAAATAATACAAATGAATACAAACGAATTGAGAGCCTCCTTTTTGCAGTCGATCAAAAACGAAGTAAGAATACACATGAAATTGTAATAATGTAAAGATAAATACCTTCAAGTGTTATAATTTATATTATGCATTATAAACAAATACATATTCTATTATAGCATATAATATTTACATTATTATTTATTATGCACAAGGGGAATTTTAAGAACTTACTGTGTTTGTCGTTTCCAACAATTGACCAGACGTCATACGGCGCTTTTAAAAAAATGAACATGAGTTTTAAAAATAAAAATAATATAACATTATTATTTATTATTATAAGCTTAATACAACGATTATTTCTCCAATCGACAACACGCTGTGTATCGATATCGGCTGAGATCGCGGCGACACCTGCGCCGGCGCACCTGCCCGCCTCTGATTCGCCAAAACTGAACAGTGGGATGAATCACCTGCCACACCGAATCACCTATAGATAGTACTTATAATAAAACCTAATTTATGATAAATCTAAATATGTCAAATTAATATTTTAATGTTATTTTAACTGAAAATACTTAATTGATTAACTCAACTTCAGTTAGACTTAACTGAAGCTCAAAATTAAATTCCACACATAAAGCACCTTCGAGAATCATTCTAATCAACTTCGTTTACTACCTACTAGAGATTAGTTAGATTAAATATTTACTGGTTTGATAGGTATCTTGTTTCAGTTACATCAAGCTACGAGATGTCAGTTTGTGTAGTATTTCTAAAAGCATCCTTAATATAACTATTATACTTTGGATAAATACCTATATTTTATATCTCATACAAAAATATTCTGTAAGTTAGAATATAACCTATCCATGTACCAAATTTTATTCAAATCTGTTCGGTCGTTTTAATATGAAAACATATTTACAAACTGCCACATTTATATTAGTAGGACTATTAAGCACTAGCTATTTTTCCGCTGTTTCGTACGCATGATTTCAAAAGTAGCAAAACCAATTAATTAGATCACTTCTTGACTTATCAAGATAAAATATACGCCAGATTCAAAGTTAGACCTTAGGTTCGGCCCACCTGATGATAAGCAGTTACTGTAGCCTATACCCATCTGTTCGTGTTTTTTTACCTACACAATTGTAATTTACTAGAGAAACTGTACAAAATTGACTGTATCGGCACATCTTTCATCATTTTTGCCGCCAAGCTGAAGCAGCTATACGTGTACTTGTTCATTATCTCCCCAAACAAGATAATTATTTGAAACGAAGACAAGACATTAGTGCTTAGGGTCAGTAATAGTAGTAATAATATTTATTAATAATTGTTGTTGACAAAATTTTTGCCATTTATAGAACGTTATACCCGAGGCAGACTTTATACAAAATCTTCTGCTTGGATACCTCTGTCCCATTGGTGGTGCCGTGAGCAATTGTTTGCATGACTGCGTTTCGGTTGCTATATGGGAATATTATTACTGTATACAGATGTATAGCACCTTATCTTCAGGAACAGCAATGCATGAAGGATATCAAGAGCAACACTGTATACTGTTATGTCCATGGTACTGCTCATGCCTATGGGCGACGGTCACTACTTTCCATCAGGTGGGATGTTAGCTTATTCGCCATTCTAAGTTGTATTAAAAAAAGTATAATTATGTAGATATATAGTACGGATAGTTTATCGATTACTGCAAAGACTGGTAATAACAGTCAACTTGTTTGAGTTAATTAAATCGGATAAAATGACTTCGGCAATACAGAGGGCGTACCAACTTTACGAGACCTTTTAATACAATGTCTCGTCTCGAAGTAATTATCAATTCTGAAGCAACATTGTTGTAGGTACAGTAAGATTTAAATGAAAAGGATTCGTATTAATGATACGCTATTCAGGTTTTTGTTTATTTTATTTTCAATGGACGGTGGTTTTATCACATCTGTTACAGTGTTAATAATATAATACTACATTTTTTCCAGAGATCAATTTCTTATCCATTATCTCTTAAAACATAAAATTTAAGTACTACTAGTGTCGGCAAATATATATATATATATTGTACATTAAAATTTAAAAATTAATTAAGACAGTGGAACAAAGTACAAACAATTTAAATGATGTTTTTTTATAATCAACAAAATGCATTCGTTTTGATACAATTTAACAAATTTAAACACTACATATCTACTATAACGTACACTGTGCAATATAATAATTTATAAACTAATTACTATGGGTCGAATTTAACTTAAATTATATATTATGTATCTCGCTACAAATACTGCTTTGTGCAGTTTTATCTCTCAGTGGGATTGTTTTTTGACCGAAGGCCAGCAGTGGTGGGTTCAATGTGCCACGGCATATCATATAATAGACAAACTTAAAGCTAAACTAAATAATGATCCTATTATAACACCAATATTAAATCACACCGATGAAAATGTTATTTAATTAACCATCTATTATAATAAAAATATAATTTGTTTTGATCCTATAAAGTGGTAAAATCATAAATCACTCTATAGGCGAGTTAAAGAGATATCATTCCACCAGTACGTGTCAGTTGACATATCATTTTTTTACATTACATTTATAGATGTATTTAATTCGTTTGTAGAAAAATTTATGTCGAACAGAATGGTGATAGGTGTTACAAATCGACATATAAAAAAGTTCACTACTGAATATGTATAACCTATAAGTTTATATATCTTACATTATCCTTTATTATTAATATAAACTACAGGACGGACAAAGTTTCGTTATAAACTACGGACGGACAAAGTTTCGTGTAACAACAACTAGTTTCCTATTTACTATTATTATTAAGTGAACAGCTTTGTATGATGATGACATTAGAATTATTCACAAACACACTTCTACTATACTTCAAATTCTGTTTTGTATTATATGTGTTTTATTTTATAAAATATACATGCATATTTGTAATAAAATGTGTTTATGTGTAATATTCACACCACCATCACCGCAATCATTAGTATTAACATCATAACAGCTTTTAACTTATCCGTTTAATAATATTACAACCTAAATTAATTTAATATTTTATAAATAGAATTATTTATCGATACGCGATAAATTCTAAATTCCGTAACGTGAACAAAATTGGCGAATACTAAAAAACTACTTAGAAACAACCTCTACTCTGTTAAGATTTCATTTATGATGATTATCTATTTTGCGATGAGGAACGATAAATATTTAATTGGTCAGTTCAGATTTCCTAAAACATTTTATAATGCTAAATTTATAATTGTAAAAGTTATGAAAATGTGGAGAATTTATATATACAAATGTCAAAAACTCACTAAGTAAAATCTCTGTCTCGATTACAAAATGTCCAACGAAATATTCATATTTATCTGTAATATATATAAAACGATATTTTTTTTATAAATATGTACATATAAGACTTTTAATCCATCTCATTCACTTGGCGTCTACCAAGAGAAGCTAAATATCTCTTACACAGTATTTACATATTTATTGTACGTATTATTTATTATTATAACTTTTATTATTTTCTTATATTGTTAAATATCAAATAAACATTGTTAAAGAGATTGATATATTTTCGACTTCGACAATATCGTACGATATTACTTGATGAATCTTGTCACTATAGAATAACAAACCGAATCCAAATATAATCATTACTAGGCAAATTTAAAATTCCTTGTGAACAATTTTAATTAAACAGACATTATTTTTATTTATTTATTTTATCCATAAAATGTCACGTACCGTAGCTCTTTTAGTTTGGGACTAGATTGCATCTAGTAATATCAGAATTATGAAATTATTTATTTTACCTATTGTGACTACTTTCATACCAGGTCTCCTACAAAACAGATATTACTGAGTGTCAAAGGTCTCTATCCTTACATATTATTACCTATTTTAAACAAGTGTATTTTAAAATTCACTTAAATCGATATGTGACAGGGGCAATTGTAATATTAACGCCACGAGCCATGTCCATTGCTGGGGCTACCGGGTGTGGAAGCTGAACCGTTGAATAGCGAGTCATCACCGGCCTCATCTTCCGAGCGCACCTCTTCGGCAGTGTGGCGACAGAACGGACAATGGCCTTTCGTTACCAGTTGTATCTCATAGTCCTCCGCGTAAAACAGCTGTAAACAGAATTCATATTAACTTATTTAATTTAGTATTGATTTTTACAATGATTATTTATTCTTATTTCACATTTTAAGAGTGTCCAAGCTAATCTGACAAAATCAGTGGTAACTGTCAATTTTCAAAAACCATGGCATCTTTTTAAATATTTCTAAATTGTGTACGTTGCATATATGACTAAAAAATTTGGCAAATTAATCCTTATTTTACTTCCAAGGTATAATAATTGGGTATTACAAATACCATACTCTATAAATATAATTAAATATAGAGAGCTTTTAAATTAATACTGAAAATGTTTGAATTTTAAAGACGTTGTCAGACTTGCAATATAGACAATTATAGAAATACCATACAAAGAAAAATAAGAAATTAAATAAATAAAAATGCTGGTATTAGTGTTGTCGATATTTTATATCAAAATACTAGCATTTTTTTATTTAATTTCTTAGTGATAAGTTCCGTAAGTTTGTGAATCAATCTGAATAGTGGAATATAATATTGAAAGTACTTATGACTACGCATCGACACTTCTTACCTAAGAAAATATAAACAAGCTATAAATAATACACACATTTTGGCAGTGGGAACAAGCGATGGCGGGTAGTTCTGGCAGCATGTTGCGATAGTAAAGAGTGGGCAGCAACGGTCGTTTAACCACCACTACGCTGACCGGGTTTAGCTGCAACAGCGCTTGGCGGCTGCACCACACGACACCGCTTTCATCGTCCTAACAATAAAATACGTAAGGCAATTTGTTAAATCACTACACCACAAGGTCGTTAATATAATAGGTATAATTAATGATTGTGGGGGAGGAAAGGTATTGTTAGTGATGCGGACTACCAGTCCCATTGCTAGCAATGTACCCTGTCAGGTCGACCACGTAGTCACTCGCGAAAACCAGGCTTTGAATTTCAGGCGTATTCATCACAGTGGGCTAACTGACCTGCCTTTTCATTCTCACCTATTATCCTTCACTGATGCCCCGCCAGCGTATACCGTTAACGCAGGCGGGGTTGCCATTTCATTATCATCCATAAAAAAAATAGTTGTGTCCTACAAAAAAAACCGACTTCAATTGTCACAAAACCAGTTATTTTTATTTAAAACTAAACTATTAAACTGTATTAGATAAAATTTCAATAGAACTAATCTGCAAGTATATCCCTTGCAGACAGGGGGGGGGGAAGGGATTGTTAGTAATGAGGTCTAATGAACACATTGCTAGCAATACACTCTATCAGGTCGACCTCCACGCAGTTTCCCCTGAAAACCATCTTGGTTATTTCTAGTCGAATTCGTCACGATGGGCTAACTGACCTACTTTCATCGTCACCTATCATCTCTCACTGGTGCTTCGCCAACGTGTAACGTTAACGAAAGCGGGGTTATCATTTTATTATGACGTATTAAATAAAATCCCTTGCAGATAAAAAAAAATTCCAAATCGATTTAGATCTGATGGAGTTATGAGATAACATACATAAAACAATACAATATCTCTATATATCTAATATACAAATACAATATAGTATACATTAATTTATTACATAAATAAAGAACAAACCTCATCAACTTTGTCTAGAAACGGATCACCAGAGTCATCGACGTGATCTATCCTGAGCACCTCGGCACCGCCCGTATCCTCTTTGTTATTTGTATCTGGGAGAGGAGTCCGTTCTATCAACTCTAACGCTTCATCCTCTGAGATCCCTTCCGACGGCATGAATTGTACTAAAGGTAAGACTTCTGTAAATAAAGGTGACAATACATGAAAATAAAGGACAAAAGCTTGACTATACTGGCTAATAGATAATAATTGTAATTTTTTTTTATTTAACTTAGAATGGCAAATAAGCTGACGGCCCACCTGATGGAAAGTGGTAACCGTTACCTATAGACATGAGCAGTACCATGAACATAACAGAGCATACTATTTCGCCCATGATACTCCCCATGCGTTGCCATTCCTGAGGACTTAGATGTTATTCCTCTGTACCCAGTAAATTCACGCCATATCCCACCCTTCAAACCAAAACACAGCCATGCAAACACAACTGCTTCACGGTTGAAACACGAATGGGATAGAGGTACCCAAGCAATCGACTTTTGTACAAAGTCAAATAAATATAAGTGTATTATTAGGCTTACGTCCAGCAGTAGACGAATAATGGTTGCAATGATGATGAAGTGTATTATTGTTGTATATTTATATAACTATATGAATGTATGTTGTCTCATAAGAAACCAACAGATAAAACAAAACTAAAAGATTAACAAGCTCGATGAAAATCACTCCAAGTTATTTGTAGATAGATACTTTTTATTTTTGCCTCCAAAAGATTACAATAGTAAACATATTATAAATAGATACAAACAATTACAAAAAACGTTCACACTGAGAAAACAATGGACGGCCTTATTGCTAAAAGCAATCTCTTGCAGGCAACCTTTGGATGGAAAGGAGTAGTTATAAACAGTTTTATCAGAGGCACGACGAAAATTTTGTTATTTTAAATACATATAGAGATGAAATATATGCAATAATATAAATGTATATCCCTACTTTCTATTCAATATACATACATATATCTACTTAAATACATATATAAAAATAAAAAAAATATTTAATTTGAATTAAGTCTATTTATCATAAAATTTATTACCGTGTGTCGCAAGTGAATGCGCTAGGACATGCTTGCAGTGCGGACAGTGGGTAGCGCAAAGCGGTGGCACGTGGCGCCTACAACGCCAGCATAACGGAGCCACCTCTTCATCACGACCCTCGCCGCCACCAGATGCACGAGTCTTCAGAATCAATAGCTCCACACTCTCCTAACGACCATAGATAAGCAAAGTATAAATTAACAAATATAATAAAGTGAAATCCAGTAATAGTATTAATATTTATGAAACTAAATAGCTTTTTCTCAAACATGCTTGGAAATGTAAGCATTATTTTGACAATCTTCTTCGAGATAAATCAAAATTGCCGTACTGTCCAGATACATGCCGGCAGCGACCGGCAAAAGTTGTATGAAAATCCACATCTGTCGTGTTTTGCGGCCAGATAAATTACTATGTAAACTCATATCTGTCCTGTAATTTAAAAATGGAATGACCATTTACTTCGAAACATGGCTACCAAGGAGGTAACTAATATAAGGTTTTATTTAAATTTCGAACTGGCTTGCAAATAGAAAGCTGTTTATTGAAAAAAAAAAAAACAAAGGAACATTATGGCGCGTGAAAAATTATTATTGTTCGTTATTCGTCATTGAATTTAAAAAGTAAAATTGTGTTTTTGATTTCCGCGCATTGTTTGAGAAAAGTACTTTACAAGCCTTGGCGACAACTAGGCATTGATGGACTCACGTATGTGTGCCTCGGTTACACCTCGGCCCACATTTGTACGTTCGTCCATCAATGCCTCAGTTGCTGGCCGCTGCAGTAATGTACTATTACCAGATTTTTACAATAAATTTTATAAAATCCAGTTTTATAAATTAGTAAATACTTAATACCTAAGCAAAACTTCAAATTATATCTGTTGGGTCAGAAAAAATTTAATATAATTTTACTTTTAGTTCACCTAATTAATGCTTATTTTCAAAAATTGTTATGATAACATTATTATTATCTTACCTGGAATTTCTGTGGCACCAAAAGCCCCAGAAGTTTATCTAGCATTTGTCGAGCTAACGCATTGGCATTTAGTGCCTTGGCTTGCTTTGCTAAACAAAGATATAAGCAACTGGATTATAAAATTAAGGATAATATCCGGTAAACATATACAACTTTTCATTCCTCTTTCTATTATAATTACATCACCACACACTTATAGTGTTAACTATTTTTTTTTTATTGAACTAAAAAAATATGTCTTACAAATAATGTATATGGTAAAACAACGTTTTCCAGGTCAGCTAGTAAACATATAAATATTAAAATATAAAAGGATACAATTTTGCAACTCCAGGGGGCGGTTCACCATCCAGCATTGCCAGGACATACCGCGCCGCATTCAGGAGCGAGTCGGGCTGACTGAGTGAGAACGGCTCGTGCACGCATCTATGTACTGCGTCGTATGCGTTGTATATGCGGGCCAGGCGTTCGTTATGCGCGTACTGACGTAAACTGTTCTCTTTCTCCCTATTACATAATATTATCATAAACAAATGAAGGAAACAAAAATTGGTATTTTTGCTGATTATAATCTAAGAGTTTTCTAATTACAAAGCTTGTCAGTTTATAAATTATAACTTAGTTAAAATACAACCCATTGTCTATACTATGGACTTTTCTCAAGAAACTTTAATAGTTCTAGGCTAATAATAAGTCAATACATTATAATTTACCTAATAATTTTTAACGATGATAACTTGCTTTGGCACCTTTCTACATTTTCTCTTATTCTAAAGTGGATTCAAAACTATTGCAACTAACTCAATGCTATTAAGTGGGTCTCATTCAAAGCTCTTAGAAAATCTTCAATAATATTTACTTGAATAATAAATATAAATTGTTTTGGATTTTATTACAAATCACCAAAGTAGCGTAAGTATTTTGTGTACCTAAATATATGAAACTAACTTATTATTAGAATTTGCCGCTGTGTCTAAGCACTGCATTGCTAGTAGATGGTGCAAGTATCCAGCATCGCTGAACCTCTCCTCGGCGACAGCGTTCCCCACCAATATTGTGAACACACGCATCGCCGTACCCGTCTCACCCGCCATATGGTAAGCTGTAAGAATATTATATTTATAAATTGATAATTTTATAATTTCACACCAGTCTAATCATTTTGACCAAGAAATGGTCACGAAATGCGAGTATTGCTATCTAGTTTCTTATAAACTATGATTGTACAACAATATTTCTTTAATGGCCTCCCGATTGATTGTCATTATATATTGCTATCTATTACTTTTTTAATTATATAAGAGATACAAAGATTTATGCACCTCATTTATTGAAGTCTAATTTGATAAGAAAGCCCATTGCCAAAAATTATCACAATACAATCTTGTTAAATTAATGGAGTTTATTATAATAAAGTCCTTTAATTTAATCCTCTTTAAGTTGCCTATCTCTAGTATTGCCAAATGTATAAATGTATTACGCTTTACCTTTTTGCGCGTCGACGAATTTATTCTCTTGTGCCATACGGTGTGCATAAGGCAAGTACACATCCCGCCTACATTCAGCGTGTTCACGAGCCAGCGTGAAAGCTCGCGACCACTCACCCGCCGACACTGCCAGTTGCGCTACTTTTCTGGAAAATAATAATAGTGAAGAGAGAGAAAGAGGGATGAGACACTGTCTGTGGTTGTCCACTAGGTAGTCAATTTATTTCTTTTAATTATACCTATAGTCTCCAAGCCTTTGGTACACGTCAGCGGCTGTAACTGGCTCGCCTGCAGTAACCAGCGCCTCTGCCACGCAGCGCAATGACTCGCTTGAACCTTTATCCAGCTTACGGGCCAATTCTATTAACCTGTAGATAGATATAATTTATGATCGTGTTCTTTAAAAAATCTGACTTCAATTGTGGAAAAAACAATTATTTGGATTAAAAAAATAAACTACTAAAGTAATTTAGTTAAAATTTCTATGGACTAATCTGTAAGTATATCCTTTTAGATAGATTTTTTTTAAAGTAATTACTATCGGTTTAACTTACTTGTATTTTAATTGAGAAAGCTCGACTAATTTCGGGACCATCTGGGACCCTTAGTTACAATAAAATGCGTACTCAGGATACTTTTTATCTATCATTCAATATTTCACATAATACAATCTTGACATATCTTTTTTCCTGATTTAGTCGTTTTAAAGAGATCAAAAGTAAAACGCGCAGACACTATTTACAACTTTAATACTTTAACAACACAATAATATAAAACTTTGCCTAATAGGCAAAGTTTTATTTATTTGTAATCAAAATACCGCGAAACAATTCATAACAAAAACATCAATAATAATAATCAATAGCAATTTGATTGTCATTGAAATAATGACAGATGTCAAAACTGTCATTTATTCTAAAGACATTAAAAATATGATGTTTCAGCTTTGGCTTCCCGTTCAATAGTCATATTAAGCCGATTCAAGATACAAGATAATCCTCAAGTTATTACATATTATATAAATAATCTTAAAATAAAATTTAGTAGTTAACAGTTATTTAAAATAAACAAAATAGCATCAACATACAATATATATATGTACGAATATATTTTAAAGCATGTTCAAACTGAAATATATCCTGTTTTACGGCCTACATATCAGTGGGACAAAGGAGCATACATTTATACAGACCAAATAGACCAAAAGACTTTTGGAATATCCAGTTGTTAAGACAGTGATCATACTGTAAATAGTATATATCGTGGATAAAAATTTTTATGTCATTGTTTGCCCAAACCAAAACACTCACATATCCCTCCGGCCACTCTCCGCCATAAGCTGCGCCGCTCGCTTCACGTCGCCGGCCGCTAAGTACATCTCAGCAGCCGCGCGAGGTTCGTTCACGTGCCGCGCCCATTCTGCCCGACGACGTGCTAGCGCAGCGAGACCTTCCCCTTCGCCGACATACTCCTAAATTTAATTAAAACTATATCTGTATTTTAACTAACGTGCAGCAGATGAAACATCTATACTTATATCTTCTATACTTATAATAAATCAGTAGAGAGGTCAATTCTGTACATGAAATATATTTCCAAAATAACTATCAGAGAGTGATTAGTGATCGATACTGATTCCAAAAACGCAATCAGTAAAAATTTTGTCGGTCTGTCTATCTGTCTGTATGTTCGTTATAGAAACAAAAACTACTCGACGGATTTTAACGAAACTTGGTACAATTATTCTTCATACTACTGGACAGGTTCTAGTATACTTTTCATCACGCTACGATCAATAGGAGCAGAGTCGTGAAGGGAAATGTGTCTGTTACATCAAAACCACTGAACCGTGAGGAAGGACATAGGCTACTTATTTTACGAAAAACGACGGCAACGCAAACAAAGTCACGGGCAACAGCTAGTATGTAATATTATTTTAGATGTCATAATTGATAAATGTTTGTAAATTGTATATAATTACTGGCTGACACGACAAACATTGTTATGCGTTCTAGGAACACCTAACTGGTCAATGTTAGGAGTTCTGTACCTTCTTAAAAGAAAAAAACGATTACTAATAGTATTACACCGTAATCTCTCTATTCATCTATCAAGACACTTTTTTCTAGAAACATATAGAAATATCAAACTGAAATTAATATAAAAAATCAACTCTTAAGTTAACGCAATGAAAAAATATTTACAGTATACATTTTAACATTTACAAAGAAATTAAAAACTATCCTATCTGTCAAGTTGGAGGAAACAAAACACATTAACGAAATTTCATGAATATCTGTTGAGAGAATTTGGAAATGAATGAAAAGAGAATGAACTGTACGGCACGGGATTTTTTTATAATATATAGGGACAATAATAATATAAATATATTATTATTGTCCCTTTAGGTGTACATGAAAGGTGTGTTATTTATAAATCCATAATTATTTATTTATATGTATAATATAATGATAAAGTGAAATAATTCTAAATAATAACAAACAAGCACCTACCTGCGCTTTATTGAACATCCTTAAGTCTACGTATAAATTGAGGGCGCGCTCATCTCGTCCCGCGGTGTGGAAAGCTCGCGCCGCGTCAGCGTAACGACCGCGATAAGCTAGCACTTCACCTGTAATTACTGCACGCTTTTCCCCAGCCTCGAAGCGCTCCTGCGACACAACAGTAGCATTATTTATTTATAGGATTACCAACATAAGATACAGCGAAACATTTCAATACAATACACTGGTAGATTAGATCTAAATGTTCTTATGCCTTGTGTTTGATAAACATTAAAATAGAATTAAATTAATAAATGTCATTAAATAAGCAAAGATATTAACAATATGAATAATAATATAAATAATGAGAATTGTAATTAAATTATATTAAATTATAGATAAATATGCAATGGCGAGGTGCAGCAACATTTTAATTTTAATATTTAATAATAAGGATGTAAAAGTAAATATTATTAATAAGTGCTCATTTAAGAGAACACTTTTTTATGCAACTTAGAATGGTATAAACGCTGACGGCTCACCTGATGGAAAGTGGTAACCGTCGTCTATAGACATTAGCAGTACCAAAGACAACAGAGTATATTGTTTCGCCCATGATAGCCCCCATGCGTTGCCATTCCAGAGGACTCAAGTGTTAATCCTCTTACCCTGTAAATCCACTGCTATTACTACTGTGGACTATCAGTACCATTGCTAGCAATACACTATCAGGACGACCTTCCCGCGATCCCCCCTGGAAACCATCGTGCTGAATTCTAGGTGTATTCATCACGATAGACTAACTGACCTGTCTTTTTATCCTCACCTATCATTCCTCACTGGTGCCCCGCCAGCGTATGCCGTTAGCACAGGCAGAGTTGGCATTCCATTTTCATCATAAAAAAATATTATCTTGTTTTACGAAGTTATATATATAAACATACCTGCAAATGATCAATGAGAGATAAAAATATGATATTCTCGCTCCGCTGAAAAGCCTTCCTAGCAACTTCAAAGCTGAGTTCTTCTAACGCCGCCATTCCGAGTCGTTCCCAATCTAACGCTGTCACGCCGAGGCACGCCACCGCATATGCTTCACTGTAACGTGCAACAATAATACATATTTATTTATTTCTAAGTGTCACATTATATTACCAAAGGGAGACTTTGTACAAAAGTCGTTTGCTTGAGCACCTCTGTCCCGTTCGTGTTTCTACCGTGAAGCAGTTGTGTTTCCATGGCTGCGTTTCGGTTTGAAGGGTGAGATATAGCAGTGAATTTACAGAGTACAGATAAATAACAGAAATATAACAAATTGTATACACAATATGTTTTAGTCATGTTATAAAAAAAATACGAAAACTATATGTACATATTGTGACTTATTATAAATGTTTATACATTTAATTTGTACTATACTAGATGTCGCCCGCAGCTTTGCACGAGTACTAAATACTTATAAAATAAATCTAAGTTCCAAATTTAAATTTTTATCAGTTTTGTAAATCAGGACAAATGATTTTATAAATATAAACTGTTGATGCAAACCACATACTATAAAATTAAAATCTAAATAAAGTGATTAACTTTTAAATTATTGTACACATTTCATTTATTTATATTTTTATTTATAATATTCTGAAAATAGAAATATATACTAACTTGAATAACTTTTGTTGGACATTTTGGTGTACTGCGTGAGATAACGGCACATTTATAGTTTGCATTGAATTGGCTTGTAGACAAAACACTCGACCGCCCTGTAAAAAAAAAGTATTACTAAAACACTGTATAACAAGATCTTTTATATTGTAACAATTACTTTGTTTGATATAATAGACATAGAAAGAAAGCGTTAAAGTGTATGATCGCTACAAGAGTAATTTATTGATAGCTAACATACTCTTTACACTGCCGAGTTGTAAACTACTATGAGGCCCACGGGTGGTGGATAGAGGAGTGACCACCAGATATAGTCGTTTAAGCGCACCGAATAGAGGCAGGTAGTGAGTTCCACAGGCGGGCTGCTTGAACAATAATGGATTTAGAGTAAAGGGAAGAAGAATAAGTGGGAAATTTGAGGCGGAGGTTATTGACACTACGTAAAGTATGATCATTAGCCTCACTGAGGTGTTTGGTTCCGGTATTTAAGCATGATTGAGTAACAATTATCCACATTTCCTGACAATTTATGATACATTTATAATATTAGTTGAATTTATTACCTGAAACCCTACAACAGAGCCGACCAGTGGCTGAGTGGCAGGTGGAAAGTGGCCAGCCTTTATAGACAGCAAGCCACCTCCGGATAGACTCAACAGTTCGTCACACCAAGAGTTCCATGACACTGAGGAGACATTCTCTTCCTGTTTATAAATTGAATATTTTCAATTAGCTTACATAATTTAGATCAATCATATAGCTCTAGAGAATTTTGATATAAATACATTGCTAAAAACAACATCACTTTTTAAGATTATTAGATAGGTAAATTAAAACACATAATAAATAAAAGTAGTGCTTCATAGGTAAAGATTCTTGTTTTAATAATATTTAATAGTGACCACTAATTTACGGCATATCATGAGTGGGATGTCGGTAGATTCCTTTACCACTTATCTAGGGGGGTTTATTCTTCTTTCAATTAAGATCAATTGAATACCAAGACTGACCGTGTACAACAATTCTCCTGTGGGCAAACTGTAGACACGACAGACGGACGCGTCATCGACGACCGCGAGACGACTCCGTGACGCGCTTACGTCAAGACAACGCACGCTGCCCGGCGTTTGCAGTACCATTTTCGAATCCCCATCGGTAGGTTCCACTTGCCAGATCTAAAATAAAGTTTTATTTTAAATAAGAATTTTCTTTATGATAATATTATTAAATGATATTATAAGCCGTTTTCCGCGGCGTTGCCAGCTTCTAATTATGTAGTTTCCATATATCATTCCCATTGGAACCCTTCATAAATCCGGTCTTATATTGTATTATATGATTAAATGATAATTAATATTCTAACCTATAACCGATAACCTAACCTTATAACCTAATATCTTTATAAAGCTTCAACTGATCGTTTATTTTATACCATTTTATGTGATTCTTTAGATTGATATAACTTTTTTATTTATGTACCGTTTGAAATAAAACAAACACTAAATAACAAAAATTCTAAAAATAATTGTTTTAGGTCCTACTGCGTTCCGAAAACCCCCCTATAATAGTTTTTCTTATATATCTTCCATATACACACACCGACCAATTAAAATTTTATTGACATCCACATGGTCTCCCTGGAAACCACTGCGTTGAATTCCATTCATCACGATGGGCTAACTGACCTGTACTTTCATCCTCACCTATCATCCCTCACTGTGTATACCACCACGCCAGTGCATACCGTTAGCGCAGGCATGGTTACCATTCCATCATCACCTATTAAAAAAATATGGGGACTGATGGGTAATGTTGACTTTTCATAATGTAACTTGATATAAATTCTGATATAAGTGATATTCTTGTTCTTTTATAAATCTCATTTTCTTTCTATTTTCTTTTTGGTAATAAACGCATCTTATTTTAATTTTAAATGTATAGTCTGCTATGTGCTGCGTGTATAATTCACCTGTCCATTAAGAAGGCCTAGCAACAGCACCTCCTCAAAATACAAAGTGGTAACTTTAACGTAACGTATCGGCGCTGGCACAGTCCACGACTTTGGTATCTGTCGTCCTATCATTACTAATTTCGTGTCCTGAAAAGAATGTAAATCATTATATACTAATATAACCGATAACACTCGATTCTATATACTCTGTAGAATATTCAAACAATATAGTGTAATACAATAAGTAATTTTTTTTATACGACTTAGAATGGCAAACAAGCTGACGGCCCACCTGATGGAGAGTGATAACCGTAACCTATAGACATGAGCAGTACCATGGACATAACAGAGTATACTGATTTGCCCATGATACCCCCCATGCGTTGCCATTCCTGAGGATTCAGGTGTTATTCCTCTGTACCCTGTAAATTCACATATATCCCACCTGTAATATCCCACCCTTCAAACCGAAACACAGGCATGCAAACACAACTGCTTCATGGTTGAAACACGAATGGGACAGAGGTACCCAAGCAAACGACTTTTGTACAAAGTCTCCCTCTGGTAATAATAATACTACAATACTATATAAGTATAACCACAATCTGTCCCTCTTTTAAGGCAACCTCACGTCCTCCTTCCTGCGACACATACAACGTTCGTAAAAAGAATACACTTACTTGTAATAAATATATTGTAATATTATAATAAAATAATATTTTACAATTTCCTAATGAAGTCTTTAGGATAATTAAAAAATAATAATTAGGGCATCAAAACTGTAATATATTATATAATGCTGATTTGCTCAAAATATCATAATCACTAATAAAAGGTATTGTTTTACCTGACATAAAAGCAAAGCATCACTCGTGGCTACAAGGAGCGAACACTCCGTCTTTTGAGACAATTTTTCCTTCACTCGATACAGCATGCCCTCGACATCCCCTTGTTCGTACACTACCACGCGTTCCGGTAATTGGACCTATTTATGTAATTTTTATAAGTAATTAGTTGCCACTATGTGATTAAGTTCACTTAAGATAAAAAAAAAAGAAATTCTTGCTTAGTCACATGCAAGCTATATTTAGTATAATCATTTGTATATTATATACAACATGTAACAATATATATATGTACTAATATATATTTTAAGACTGACATAATTATATTATTATAATCATATTTGTCCACTTAAAACAATAACAACAATTCTAAAAATTTATACCCTTCTGACAAAATCTTTTTAATATATATTCCAACCATATTTGATTATTTGCAAATTGGTGATCATGATATTTCACAATTTTTTTTATGTAATTTTATGCATAGAAATAAAGATATGAGCCTACAATAACCTCCTTATTCATAAAAACTAAAATGTCCTGTAAACCTATTTTATCTATTGGAGTGTTTTGTCACTGTCTTTCAAATTGAAAAAATTGCATTAAAAGAAAAAGACAGAATATTTTAACAGCTACAAAAAGTCTGTAGGAGGTCTTAGTTTTTATTAATATATCTTTACTTCTATGTCAAGTTTTATATATAGACAATTAACAGGTAATAAATGTACAAACCAATACTAACCGCTAATCGATGTTTATAAATAGCAATCTTTTGCACTCTGTCATGACATTTAATCCGAACTTTGTTCCCAGTAGTCAAATGCTGTACAATGACATCAGTCATATTCTCCCTATATGCATAGCGCTCCCTATATAAACCATGAACTGTACTGAATACCACTTGGTAACACCATAGAGTACCATCTTGGCACGCCACAGCCTGAAAATAAAATTACTTGTACTGATAGGAAGTAACTCTTTTAAGTCAATTTGTTCTACGATTCGAGTCTTCAACATGAGCAGCTATAATCTATATAGAAATCGCTTCACAGGCTTCAAATCTGTAAATTCAGATCAAAAGAACCTTTCTCGAACTCTTGGGTTGCAACGACGTATTAATATCTTGCTGTTGCAAAAGTTATGCTCTTAATACTCTTTATATAAAACTCTTTATAATGGCATGACGCTTTGCTTTGCATACGCTTAGTCAAAAACATCTATACACAAATTTTATAGATATTATTTGATATATATAATAAATAACCTACCATCGTATTAAATGTAGGCGATGGTATGATAGACCATACCCATTCCTGTGGTGTATTCAATATTGGCACACCTTCAGCTGTGAGCACAGCCCAGCCACCTACGCCGCCCACTAACACTAAAGCGCCTAACAGTGATATTGAAAGAGCCGCTAAGCCTAAAACAAAAATTTTATATTATTTAAGATCCCGTCCCATAAAAAAAATATTTTTTTATTGAAACAAAATTTATAAGTAGCCTATAGAAGAGTAAATCCAATCGAATGCAACAGTAATTATCGAAATTGGCAAAATATCTCATAACATAAATAAAATAAAAAAGCGAATTGATCGGAATTTCCTTTTTTTAAATTGCGTAAATGAATTACGACGCAGTTTCAATAAGACTTCAACAATTTACTTGCATCTCCATTTCCCGCATAAACCATTCATAGTTGATGACTATATAACTCTAAGATGTTTTTGTGTAAAATTACATATTTTTAAATCTTTACTTTTTCAGAGATTTCATGGCTGTATGTTTATATGCAAATTATTACCAATATTTCTTTCTTTGTGTATTTGTTGGCCCTGTACATTATAAAAAGATAAAGTATCATTCCAATCAGTAACAAGAAGTGTTGATTTCGAGAAAGCTACTGCCCACACTGCAGCATCCCGTGTTATACGTTGAGTCTCGTCACCTAACTGGAATTAGAAAACATATGATTAGATTTCAGCATAACAATACAATATTTAGGAAAAGCAAAAGTTAGAAAATATAGATCACAGAGAGAAGACGAGAAGTGCCCTTATTGCTAAAAAAGACTAAACTAAAATTGGATAAATATGGAATAAACACATACTAACCCTATCTCTAATAGACACTGCACCACTGGCCAAACCTATTGCCAAATGTTGCCCATTAGATGACCAAGCACAGGAGGTAATACGGCCAGATACTCGATACTTCTGTACAGCTTTAACATCAGCCGACCAAAATGCGAAATCTGTAAGGGCACATGACGCGAGGTGCATTGTCACCGGATTATAGGCCAAACACTGAATTGCTTCGCTGTGCCTGTAACATAATAATTTTGTTTAGGTTTAAAATGCGAAATTACTATTTGAGGCTGCTGCCACTGATGACCTGCAAACACTGAAACTGAAAACCCTTTGATGGCATAAATCAACCTTACTTAACTTAGTCGAAATTGATATCCATATCGAAAAAATGAAAATGTTTCATATCTGATACTATATTTTTTATGCAACTTAGAATGGCAAAAAAGCTGACGGCCCACCTGATAGAAAGTGTAACCATCGCTTATAGACATGAGCAGTACCATGAACATAACAAAGTACACTGTTTCGCCCATGATACCTCCCATGCGTTGCCATTCCTGAGGACTCAGGTGTTATTCCTCTGTACCTTATATTTGTATCTGTATTTATATAGTGGATATTTATATTTATATCTGTATTTTATAACATATTAGCGAATCGTCCTTATACGTCTAAATCAAAAAATTGCAAGATTATTAAAGACGTCCCTCACAGGACTTGTGCTCATTAATTTTTGAACGATAATGTTAACTCGTTTTATTTAAATATCGATGATCTGGAGTCGAAAATATCTGGTACCAACCCGGCTTCAGACTTATTTGGAAGAGGAAGCTGGTTATACAGACGACACAATCTAAGTAAGGGTTGTTATTGTGATATACAAACATTTTGGGCCTATAAAATAAATATCTTTGGATTACGTAAATTATAATCTGTATTTATATTCAGTGAACCAAGCATCCCTGGGGACACTACAATTGAGTGAACTATCTTATATAAAAATACTAGATCAAAGATACTAGATAAGGAAACGTAATATTAAGCATCTTTGATTATAAGATTGCAGTGTTCTACCGAAACCATGCATGTATGCTAAAGTTTACAAAAAACGCTTATGAGTTTTTTAATTCTCTTAAAATATTTGTACAGTGTAAAATGCGGACTAAATTGAAGAACCATATTCGAGAGTATTTCAGTCTAAACTATTGAAGAGAGTAATGTAACTATCTCGATTAAGATTAAGATCTTAAGAACTCTAGTTCATCTGTATATGAAACCTAAGAGTTTATTCGCTTTTTTTGCTAATATAATCGTAGTAATTACGATCCGATAATTTTTCATGAAATGAAATCCCTAAATCCTTAACGAGATTATTACGTACTAGTATTACACCATAGAATTGGTGATTATATAAAACTTTGTGCTTTTATAAGTAAATGTAACAACAAAACATTTCTTAATATTGAGAAACATCCGGTTCATCTGACACCAAGCTGAAAGTGTGTTTAAGTCCTGTTGAATTAGAGCACATTCTTGATAATTATAAACAATTATATATAACAATTATAATTATATATAGCATAAAAAAGTTTTAGATCGTCTGCGTACATCAGACAAGGACAGCATAACTGCACGATGTGTATGTGGATTGGAAACAAATGTAACACAATGTTCAGCCCACTGGGAGTACTTTTAATGTATTTTATTTCTAATCATGTCAATTTTTTTCATAAAAATTTATTTCATTAGCTCTTTGGTACGTGCTGGTATCTTCAACAGATGATAACGTGGTTATTTAATTAAAAAGAAGCTTAATTTCTTTATTTTATTTAATTAATCTCATAAACAACAATTGTTAATAAAAAAGCCATTTGTTCGATCTAATACAATTTTAAAAGTAGTCCATTAACACTTAAAAAAAGAAATGTTTAGTTTTTTAAAGTAACTTGACTAATCCTTGGGCACCTCCGGTGTTACTATCTTTCACTTCATGCTATACGCGACGCTGTTCATTAGTGAGTAATAGTACATAGTACCCATTCATGGGGGGAAAGGGATTGTTAGTAATGGAGACTGAGAATCCCATTGCTAGCAATATACCCAACCAGGTCGACCTCCTCGCGGTTCCCCCTGGAAACTATTATGTTTAATTCCTGATGAATTCATCATGATGGACTAACTGGTCTGTTTTCATTCTCATCTATCACCCCTCACTGGTGCTCCGCCAACGTATCTCGTTAGTACACCATTTTCACACATCAAAAAAAAAAATACCCATTCATGAAACCAATTTAGTGTCTTAGTGGAAACGGAATTTTTACTACCTAAGTACCCACATTGAAACCAATCATCACCTAACCTAATTGTAAAAAAAACTAACGATTGTAACCTAACCACTTGTTTTGAATGTCGAACTGTACTGTGTAACGAGCAATAATAATATCTTTATTACAGGCTACAACGGGCCAATTTGTTAGTAACACAATCTTAGTCTAATGTTAGTACACCTTACAATAAAATAAATAAATGAAAGAAACAATTTGACAAATTTGGTCATCGTTGAGGGATCCCATTTGAGATCCCACAACAGTGACCAACGTTAGGACAGTCCAACCTGCTTGCAATCATATTATAATGGGCATAAAATGCTTAAGGTAACTAACGTATTTAAATTGATAAGAAGTAACATCGTATCTGTCTAAATAACTTTCCAATTACCATCTTATAAATGACCTTCTTTAAAGAGATTAAAATAGATATAGTAAGCTATCCTTAAAAGATAGACATATGCTATCGCAAACGACCTATAAGAAAGGAACAATTCCACTGAACATTGTTTTGTTACATCTCCAACGGTTTCTTTTAATAGATGATAATGAAATGGTACCCCTCCCCATTGCTTTAATGGTATACGCTGGCGAGGCACTTGTGAGGAATAATAGGTGAGAATAAAAAGGCAGGTCAGTTAGCCCATCATGATGAATACACCCGGAATTCAGTACAACGGTTTCCATGAGGCCAAGTGGAGGTCGATCTGACTGTGTATATTACTAGCAATGGGACTGGTAGTTCGCATTTCTAACAATAGCTTATACCCACTCCCCTCTAAAATAGATTAGGCACTGTAGACAGACAGACAGACGCAGCGGGCGGACTTTGTTTTATAATGTCATAATATTATTGTCATAAGATTATAGTTCTATTTCAAATTTCGTCTTTTGTAACAAAATTAGGTAATTGTAACTTTTACACGTTCTACACGGGGTTACCGTTTCATTATCACCCATTTAAAAAAAAAGCTTGAGGGGCTACCATGAAACAGTTAGCCCGAACTTTGTAGTCGAAGCGAAACGCGACCGAAATAATGTAAACGAACCTATAGAAATATTTTTTTAAAAGATGTACAGTCGTTTGGTTTAAACGTATAATAATAATATTATGAACTTAGGAATTTCCGTACAGAATTTTTAAAGACCTTTATTATTGGGACTATTTCATAAAATGAATAAATTAAAAATATCTATAACTTACCAATATATTTATGACTGGAAAATTAAATATACAAATAATTAAACAAGGACATCCATCTCAAAACAATAAACATTTTTATATACCACCTTTAACGTTTCATTCCAAAATTCATAAATCCTAAAATATTAAATTGCATCTTGAGCTTTCGTGGGTAATATTACGAAAAAAAGTACTATCTGTTTCATTCATTCGATATTTTCAAGTTATGTTGGTAACGAAATAAACGTCACTGCACGTTTTCAAGACCGATTTTGGAATGAAAGTGACGTACTATGAACGATTTGCACACACTTGTAATCTCAATCCAAAACATCGCTATTACCGATCGCTAGTACCCCCACATCGGTTGTGTTTCTTTTTTTTTTTCTTTAAGTTGTTGAAATCATTGAATTAAAAAATGGGTAAAAGAAAACTCAATCGTCAGGATGAATATAATCAAATGAAAATAAAAATAAAAAAACTTAATAATGTGAAATCACTGAGAAAGAAAAGCAGTTCTCCTAAACTCCCAACAGTATATGAAGGTCAGTAATAATATTTTTTCACCACAATTTTTTTTTACGTTAATTCAGATAATGATTGCAGATTTATTTAAATTAAAGGTTGTCACTTCTAGTGAATTATTTTGTTTTTGTAAATGTTTATGACTTATTTACAAGACTTTTAAATTATGTTCCGTCTCACGTGTCTTTCGGTAAGGTGGGCCGTCTGAGGGTAGTGATTTTACTATGTAACATGCACCTACCTATAACCGTGTTGCAGTTAATCTACTAGGTTCTATACGATTTTACTAATATGAATGCAAATTAATGATTATATATTAAACATCATTGTTCGCATCATTTTTTATATTCTTATGAGTTCATTAGGAAAAAAATACTGTGAAAATTAAGATTTCCTAAAAAAACTTTTAACGCGTACTCTTTCGTAAAAGTGTTATGTAATTTTAACGTTTGTTTATATGGTGTCAAAACAATCTTAAATATAATTAAATGAATTAAATCTTAAATAAAATGTACATAGGACCACGACAACTCGTGGCGACTAGCTTTAATACATGTCAGTAATTGTGATCTAAGGCAAAAGTGAGATAATATGTTGATATGCTGGTTTTTGTTCTTTGTTAGCTACAATGTTATCAATAAATGTATTATTTTTAAGCAGCTAACATGTCAGTGGAATTATGCATTTTAACAAAGATCACTTATGTTTTCAATGAAGGACGGTAATTATAACGGGGTCAAAACTACTTTTCAACGGCTATTTTAGGTATATTCGTTAATTGAATTTAACTATCAAAAGCGAAAATCTGACTGTTCGCAAATATATTTATTATCTACTAACTGTTTCCCACAGCGTTGCCTGCTTCTAACTATGTATATCATTCCCATTAGAACTCTTCATAAATTTGATCTTATATTGTATTATATACTTAAATGATAATTACGTACTACTAATACCTTCATAACTTGTTTCAGCCATTTTAACTGCTCGAATATTTTATAGTATTTTATATATGATTCTTTAAATCGACATACCTTTATTTATGAACCGATTAAACTACAACAAACACTAAATGTTAAGTAAAGTTAACCGCAACGCATTAGTGAATACCGCATTCAAATTGGTTAAGCCGTCTCTGAGATTAGCGTGCACAAACGTACAGACAAACAAACAAAAATTTTATATTGTTTTGGGTTCTATTGCGTTTACAAAGCCCCCCTATAATAGTGTTTTCTTATATATCTTCCATGTACAGGCAGCGACCAGTTACGATTTTATTATATTTATTGATTGATTGATAGGAAAAAACGTTTAGAAAATAGTAGTAGTATTATTGCAATTTAGTTTGTTCCTATAGTTGATGAAGGCTTACAAAAACAAAATAGACAAAAGCATCTCGAAAGTAGCTTTACATCAGCTTAAGCATCAATTACTGTAGTAGTACTGTAGGTATGTGATTGATGAAATAATTGTCTTGTCATTGCCTGACAATGACATAGGAAGATGATAGAAGATAACGAATCCTAGATAAAAATAGTTGCGTATTTTTTACAAATGAAAATTTTTCAATTCCCAATAAACCTTACGTTAAAGTGATGGAAGAACTTTATGCTCCGTCATATGAACACAAAAATGGCAAATAAGCATACAGCCTGTCTGATAATAACGGTTATCAGGATGCATGTATAATTAGAAATGTCACACGCATGTTGCCGACTCTAAATAATAATAGTAATACTTTTATTTGCTATAATTTTAGGTATAAAACATTAGATCCTATAAATTAAAAGTACTTTACGAAATCTACTTAGATCAAGCAAATATTGAAAACAAGTTAACAATAATTTTATTTCAAATTGTTAGTAACATTAGAAAACTAAGCACTTATGAGTAAATATTACATAATAATTAAAATATGAAAGAATGTAATCCATGGGGCACTGTATACGTTTTTATAATAAACTTCCAGATGAGGTTTCAAATTTAATAGAAAATTTAAGACACATACAAAAAAGACTCTCTGTACTTAAGCGAGACTGTAAGCCTCTCTTTCGAACTCGAAATCATTAGAACCAAAAGCAAAATGATGATTGTGGACAGAGCTGAATATAATAGACCTGATGTAATGACAATACGAGTTACGTATACCTTGGTTCCACTATCACAAATACTGGAGGGTGTGAGGGATGTGCTATCACAAAAATAGCTGTAAGTAAACTGCATAAAATGTGAAAGAAACGTAACATCACAAAGAATACCAAAATACATACAATGAGGAGTTTGGTTTTTCCAATTTTCCTGTATGGTACAAAACTTGAACGATCAAGCAACAAGAACGCCGAAAAATTTATGCTCTTGAGATATGGTGCTAGTGACGACTGTTGCAAATACCTTGGACTGCCTTCCGAACTAATGTTTCCAGTCTAAAGGAACTATTCTGAATTGACGGTACAAGGCAAACGTTCTCGGAGTAGATCACCAATACGATAGACTGACCTCATCAAAACGGCCACACAGCAGTCTATTGTGGAATGCTCTCATTTGGCTGTGAGCAGAAAAGTAAATGGAGACGCATTGCGAGAACCTCAATCGCGAAGAAGGGCCTCATCGACAATTCTCTATTATCATAAAAACCACGACCACTCTGTCAAGAGTATACGACTGAAGAGAAAGTACTAAAACATATTATAAAATAAATGACTAGGTATTTAAATGTCAATAATCCATGGGCATTGTATTAATGTGAAGTGTACAGCAATTGTAATTGTTTTTCTGTTCTATTCTACTTTTGATGACTATTAATTAAATCAATATTATTTTATATAGGAATTATTATAATTATAAAATGACGTATCATAACAGTCTGTAAGAGATGTATATGAATAAAGATGTTTTGATTGATTGATTTATTTTATTTTGTCAATTAGTAAGTTTAAGTAGTCAAAGTAAGTAATATAATAGTGAATGTCAAATGGTCGACAATAAAAATGAAATGTTCTAATAAAAAAATCCATAAGAAAGAGTTATAGGCTCTTTTCAACCAACTTCAAAAAGAAGGAGGTTCTCCACTCGTTTGTATTTTTTTATTTTCGTTACATCATAACTATACACCGTTTTGAAAATTCTTCTTTTAACTGAAAAGTTAGATACTTAGAGATTGGTCCCATAGAAATTTTATAAAAAGTAGTAGCTTTAGATGCTGATAATCCTAATTTGCTGTCACTTTTTTATAGGCAACCCAATGCTATCAGACTACCAGTCCCATTGCTAGCAATATACCTTGTCAGGTCGACCTCCATGTGGTTCCTCCTGGAAACTATCATGTTGAATGCGCGTATTTTTCACAGTGGGCTAACTGACCTGACTTTACATCTCATCTATTATCCCTCACTGATGCCCCACAGTTAGCACAAGCGGGATTACTGCTTCATTATCATCCATTTAAAAAAAAACCTTCAAAACCGAAATACAGCCATGCGAACACAAGTACTTCATGGTGGAAACACGAATACGACAGATACCCAAGCAAACGACTTTTATACAAAGTCTCCCTCTAGTACATTAAAATGTTTATACCTGCAGAAATCAGCAGCGAGATCTCAGGCTGTCTTTTGTATTACCTGTATTAAATATGAAGACGATTACTAGATATATCATATTATTGCAAACTGTTTTAAATATTAAAACAAATTATGTTCATTATTAAACATAAAAGTTAATAAAACAAAATAAACAAACCGTTTAATCATTGTAAGTGCTACTAATTTGCATTATATAACAGTATGTTCATTGTTGCAGTTGCGGAAAATGAAGACATGGAAATCACCACAACAAACAACACATCTTCCTTAACTTCTATGAGCAACATGAAGATGCATGTCACCTGATGGTTGTAACCCACAACTATAGATAAGAACAGTATCATGGGTATAATAAACTATAATGTTGCCCATGATTCTGTTCATGCGTTGCACTTCCGAAGAAATAAGGCCTTATTATTATGCCTTATTATTATACCTTATTATTATGTTTTCTTATTATGCCTTATTATAATAATAATTAAATATAAATACTTATTTATTATATATCTTTGGTGCATACTTAAAAAGTGAATCGTAAATGAAAAGCAACTCGACATCTCGGAACCGAAACACAAGGACGAAAACACAACCACGCAAACACAAACAGTAAAATGTGTGAGTAGAATGTCACATACATTCGTGAATTTGTTGTAAAATAGTTTTGTTTGCAACACAAGTATTTTACAACAAATTCACGAATGTATCCAATCAAATAACTATTTGAATGACACACTTGCATGGTCTTACTTGAGCATGCATAGACTTTTTAATGATCATGTACAGAATTGTTAAATATTGATATTGTTTATTTATTAAAATGTTAACATTTTCATTTTAATGATTAGTAGTATGTAAAAAAAATTTACATAAAATTAATGAATTAATTATATAAATGAGATTTTAATTTTGTAATAAAAGCATTCATTGTCATTGTCTAGGACGGGTGCTTCTAACAGGGATTGTAAGTTTTTTCTGTTTATAACTATAAAGTTTGTGATAATCATTTTATCCATTAGGAGAAGAAAGCAGCATATGTAAATAATTTATTAAATGAATGAAACTGTAAAAAAATGTCAGGTGTTAATCTCTTCAGATAAAACAACTTAAATAATTATGATAGAACTTAAGTTTGTTGAATCATTATTTATATTAAAAATATTTTTGACTATACTTACGAATACTTTAAAACACCTTCCATTTTTGAGGTCCAAATAATAACATTCTTATCAGCGCTGCCACTTGCAAATTTTTTGCCATCCCCACAGTATGCCACTGCATGCACAGCACCCTTATGCGCTTGGAGTAACTGCACCAGAGCCCCATCACGAGGGTCATACACCATCACCTTTTCTCCTGCACCTACTACTAACTGTGTGCCATCTGGACTGAAGCATGTAGTATGAACACTGAAAGAACACAAAAAAATATTACATGCATGATAAGATATAAAATACCTAAACTCTTCATCATATATTTTGAATAGTGGCAGTTTAATTTTTACAAAAACAATAGTTACCAAAATTCACATTACTGTAAATAAATATTTGGTGAATATCACCTACAAGCCATTAGGAAAATGGACATCCTAATTTTGTGTAAAAATACTTACTATTTTATTACTTGATTATTTCATCATCATCGATTTTGCTATTATTCATTCACTGCTGAACATAAGCCTACCCCATAGACTGCCATAAAGAACAATCCTGAGCCACCTGCATCCACTGACTGCAACGCATTTCAGGTAGTCACTCCATATAGTACGATTTGTCCTACACTGTGTTTACCCGTATGTGGTCACCACTCAAGAACCTTTCTTCCCCATTGGTTGTCGGTTCTTGGAGCTATGCGACCAGCCCATTGCCACTTCAGCTTGCTTATCCTTCGGGCTATGTCTGTTATTTTGGTTCTTTTGTAGATATACTCATTTCGGATTATATCACATAAAGAGACTCGGATCATAGCTCACTAAATAACTTGTAACTTTTGCATACAGGCAATTGTGTAGGACCATGTTTCGGTTGCTTAAGTTATCACTGGCAATACGCACTGGTTAAATTGATTGCACTTGATTATTTATTAATTATTATTTCTTGTAATTATTTATATTTATAATAAGTTTACTATTGTAATCTTTTGGAGGAAACAATAAAGAGTATCTATCTATCTATCTATTTATCCTAATTACTATAAATTATTGTTAGTTAGCTTAAATCTTGGTGTTTTAATGGCTTCACTAATTATAATAAAATTTAATTTAATCACTTGTAGTTACTGCCATTGGAGTTTAATGCACGCTAGTTTTATCCTAGTCAATCAATATGTTGTATGTTTCTAATTATGTCACAAATATGTTTGTTACTCTTGACTTGAGTGGAAACAACTTAAACTTATAGTGAAGAAAGAGCTTGTTAGTAATAAGGGTATAATAGCCCCACTGCTAGCAATATACCTGTATCAGGTTGACTGTCATGCGGTTTCCCCTGATAACCATTGAGACTCTTTTTGAATTTGTCACAATAGACAAACTGGCCTGAGTGCACCATCACCTATTATCCAATACTGGAGCCCTGACAGTGTATACTGATAGCACAATGTGGAATTACCATCATTTAAAAAATATTGCATCTGCATGGCCAGTGCAGTAAATATTTAATATATGTCCATATAACATATCATTACATCAAATACTGTAATGATATGTTTAAAGCATTGAAGCATCAATAGATAATAAATAAACATACAAACTCAAATTTATAATATTTTATTATTAATAATAATAGTGACACAATCACATGAATCACTGTCTCTAAGCAAGCATACCCTATCTTATAAAGAACCAGGCATCAATCATTTAGAGACACAATCCAATATTAATAACAATTCTTGCAAGTACATATACTACTCTTATAAACTACCATGAGAAGTTTACAGGAAGCTTAACAATAAATAAGCATAGAACAAGGCAGCAAGAACACTCACATTTATAATATTAGTAAAGATAAATAAATATATTCTTATCTACATCGCAATTGAATAATACCATAGTAACGCACCTGGAAAACTCAACTTTATCAGCTTCATGGATTTTATTCACCCATTTTGGTACAGTTCTCATTTTGAACTATTACAAACTATACAGGTCGCAAACTACAATTAACATTGTAATATTCATACAATTGAGGCACAAGGCTAATGTGTGAGTCGAATTGTATTGATAGTATTAGCAACGCAGAATCATTTCTGTGATGATTTCGGTTGACAACGGGTTTCGAAAAAATGTAAACAAAAGGTTAACCTTCACAGCAAAGCGCGGTGTAATTAGTGTTTGTCTAATCCAAACATTACACTCTGTCTGTGATATTAATTAAAAAAAATAGTTGCATATAAAAGAATTTCTTATGAAACGAAATAACATATAATGAAAGCTCCAATACTTTCTAATAAATTTAAATATTACAAACAAATTCGAAACTTTGACGTAAATACGTCACAGTCAAAGAGAAATGACAATTGAGTACATTGAATGACACAGGACTGACACTGATTAAGGTCAGAATGACTCATTAACAATTTCACCTACAATGTCGACGATAATTAACGACATCTATCCTCTTTTATTTGTAATTATATAATATCGGCGCATCATGCTAGCTGTTAGAACCATCTTTGCGATAGATGTCGCTTAAAGAATCAAAAATCAAATTAATGATAAACAAATTAAAGGTCTTCGCCACTTGGAAATACAAAATAGAACTAAAAAGCTATATTAGCGTCTTTAGTCAATATAAAAAAATTGTGTTACATCATTCCTTAAAAAAAAATGTTATTTTTGATCGTCCTTTAATTATAAAAAGAAAATATTTATAAAATAAACTGTGTCAAAAATTTATAATTTACAAGAAAATAAAAGGAATATTTAAGAACAGAAAAAAAGACAACGACTTATTAATCTAATTTTTTACACTGCAGTCAGATATCTAGATCCTTAAGCTAAAATCAAGAGCTGGCTGTCAGATTAACCACGAATGTTGCCATTGGAAATCTATACTTTAAATTTACGAGAGCGCGAAAATGATAAAGTGGAATAATTATTATTTTAATTAGTCGGTATCGAAAAATAATAATATTTTATTAAGAGAGAGATAGAGCATCGAGCCTCAAAAGCGGGGCAACTTTTTGTCATTAACAAATTTACTGACAAAAAGTAAAAAAATTATAATATTTGAGTATTATTTGTTTTATAATTTTTGCATCTTTTTAATGAGTATTTCACTCATTTTATTTATTAAATTATTAAATTTAGATAAGTTAAGATTATGTGCGTAAGTATATAGAACAGAAATAAAAAAAAAACAAGTCAGCTAATTTGAAAATTAGCTGACAAAAAATTTAAAGTAGTAATAAACAAAAATCTAAATAGATTTGTATTATTGTGACATAACAGAAAGAACAAACGTTTTTAGCATTACCTTTAATAGAAATCTTAATACTAGGTATGAAATCTAATAAATCTATTAAATCTAAAAAACTAACGAGTAAAAAATAAAATTAGTATGGTCAAATATAAATATAGTTTGCGTTTATTATTTAATTCATTGATGTACTTGTAATGTACACAGTAATGGTGAATGTAGTTGTTCATGTACGAAGTGAAGATAAAATATTTAAAATTATGTATCAATAATTAGTTTGTTATATTTTTAATACGACGATTTACTGAAAACCATCTTGTAAATTGCCAGCTTTTAAAATAATAATATTTTTACGGCTATTCCTTTTATATGTATATAACTAAGTATATTATCTTAAAACATGAATACGCCTTTTTCAGATGCGGATAAAAGATCTCCGCGATGGAAGTTTTATCTGGAAGATGAAAATTTGTCAAACTAAATGAAATTAAGTTAGTTTAATCGAATATAGAATTAGATTTTATTTCATATTATCAGTCCCCATCCTCTCAGCCATTATACGTCTACTGCTGAAGATAGACCTCCCTCATAGACTGCCATAGAGAACGATTCTGAGCCACCTGCATCTACTGACTCTCTGCAATGCACTTGAGGTCACCACTCCATCTAGTGGGGTGTCGTCCTACACTGCGTTTGCCCGTACGGGGTCGTCTCTCAAGAGCCTTTCTTCCCCCTCGGCTGTCGGTTCTTAAAAATGTGACCAGTCCGAAACTTCAGCTTGTTTATCCTTTGGGCTATATGGGTTTTAGTATTAGTATAATGGGGGAAAGGGATTGTTAGTAATGGGGGTCTAATTTCCCTATTACTAGCAATACACCCTGTCAGGTCGACCTCCATGCGGTTCCACCTAGAAACTATAGATAGATAGATACTCTTTATTGTTTCCTCCAAAAGATTACAATAGTAAACTTATTATAAATATAAATAATTACAAGAAATAATCACAATGAGAACTATCGTGGTTAATTCTAGTGGAATTCGTCAGGATGGGCCAACGGACCTGCTTTCATCATCACCTATCACCCTTCATCACTGGTGCCCCGCCAGTGTATACCGATAGCGCAGACAGGATTACCATTATCACCCATTAAAAAAAACAGTATCCAAATATTCAAACAAAAAGCTTCAACAGGTACATCCACTTATCAAATTTGTGGTGGTACGCAATCTAAACATATGTTGTTTAAATATATTTTATTAGGTATTGTTATAAATATATTTTAATTCATAATCAAACAATATTATGTAACTATCTGACTCGGTAAACGTTGTTTTACCATATAAATTATTCGTAGAAAATATGTTATTAATTTATTAAAAAAAATAGCTAACACTATATGCGTGTGGGGATGTAATTATAATTGAAAGAGGAATGAAGCCTTATAGACAATATTTTTTTCCCTGTTAGCTTTTTATCTGTAGAATTAGCGCATATTTGAGATCGTCATATGAACGGTGCGTATCAGCTATGAACTGAACATTATTATTTCTTCTTCGAATAAGCCATGCAATGGCTCAGGTGGTTCTAATATTATATAATTATTTAGTGAACTTTTTAGGACAATTAAAGAAAGATATCTATTTTTAGTTTCTTTTTTACTATTGTTCTTGCACACTGTATGGTGCTTTAAAAGTAAGCAACCCTCGATTTGTGGCACTGAACGAGTCAACGTAAACCGAATTATTCGAATGCGGCGTATCGTGACGAACGAGTAGTGATCTAGGCTACACAAGCATCACTTGCTTATAGCAGTGGTCTTGGTAATTATTTATATAATATGTTGGAATATCAATAAATATCTTTTTTTATCACGACTATCGTGATTGCAACACTACGACTCTGCTGTTTAATGTCTATGTCAATTGTCTATAATTTCACAAAAAATGCAATTTAGCAATGTATAAAAACGTGATCATTAAAATAAATAAAAAAAAAACAATATACTAAGAATTCTTCTTTAACTTTCGAACGCAATCACAAATAAACTAGAACAGTAACCCCAATTTAGCAGAAAACGACACCTGTACCTATATTGAAAAAATGAATATTTTTGTAATCCTTCATCTTTTTTACAAAACGCAAAAACACATTAATTTTAGAAATTAGCAATCCTCATATGTTAGTCGAAAATGACACTTATATCGAAAAATAAACATTTTTGATATTACCCATTTTTTTTAAATCTACACACATAAATTTTTGAAATCAGCAACCCCAAAATAGTCGATTACGATACCTATATCAATAAAAGAAACATTTTAGACATCCGACATCTTTCTGTTTTCTTAAATTTAAAAAGATTGCATAGATGAAGGAAACGCATAAAAAGAATCATTATTATTGAAAATTAAGGTATTAAAGCAAACACCAAATTCCGGAAAACCAAGTCGTAATGAATTCAACTTTTAACGGATAAAATATACGATAACATAATGTATATATTCTTTTCTTGTTTTTATGCCATTTAGAATAGCAAACAAGCTGGGGACCCACCCGATGGAAAGTGGTAACTGTCGCCTATACCCATGAACAACACCACGAACAAAATAAGGTATACTGTGTCGTCAATGATATCTCATATATAATCTCATGCGTTGCTATTTCTGAATACTGCCTCTGTACCCTGTAGGTAATTTCACTGCAATATCCTACCATTCAAATTAAACACACACACACACAGACACACACACACGGCCATGTAAATGCAACTCCTTCAGATAAAAAAAAAATGGGACAGAAATATCTAAGCAAACGATCTTTGTACAGAGTGTTCTTCTGGTAAATTTTTACGCCCTTATTCATAAAAATTAAACCTATTTAAACTATTACGTTGTCTTGTTTATTTGCCTTTATTCAACAAACGATTAAATTAATAATTATTACTTAATAATTATTACTAAATTTTGCCTATAGCTGTGTCACCTATGGACTGAGTTAAAAAGCTTTTGCTATATCAAACATGATCGGACGGATCACCTCAAAGTTAATGTCCAAAAATCATAGATGGCGCCTACTTTTGTTAATAAAACGAATTTTGATATCCATCTATTTTTTATCGATTTCTCTAAATCTATCTCTAAACTTAAAATTTCAAATTATTATCACAGCAATATTTTCATTCTAAAAACCAAAATAAACATAATTTCTAATAGATTTAGGTCTAAATTATTATAATTTTAAATAGTAACATTCCATATTCGTTTTTTTTATATTTTTTTTTATAGATGATAATGGAATGGTAGCACCGCTTGCGCTAACGGTATACGCTGGTGGAGCACCAGTGAGGAATGATAAGTAAGAATAAAAAGGCAGGTTAGTTAGCCTATCGTGATGAATAAGTACATCTGGAATTCAACACGATGGTTTCCAGGGGAGACCACGTGGAGGTCGAACTAACAGAGTATATTACTAGCAATGGGACTGGTAGTCCATATTACTGAGAATCCCTTCTGCCCTTTCTTCTTTGAAAAAAAAAAACTTAAATAGCAATATTGGATCATCTAACTTTTTTTAATTTTAAGGGTTTTGTCTTTTTTCAAGTATATCAGTCGTATACTGAACTGATTTCTCAAGACTTATCTACTTTCTGTACTCACGGAAAGAGAGGAATTAATTATTATCTATAATTTATTTGTTACTGCGGTGAGGATCGAACTTGATATAATTGGATTAATAGGTTATAGCCAAGCATACGATCTCAATTCGGACGTTTACCGCCAGCTATGACAACTAGTGCGGCTACTTTTAGCCGGTACCCACGGTAGCTGCTGTAGCTGGCGACTGAACATATTACTTAGTTATAAGTAGATTTGATATATTTACGATTAGCAAGTGAAATGATATATAAAGAACGAGTCAAACGTCACTCACGCTTTGTCACTTCCAAAGATTTTGGAATAGAATGTGCTTAGGTCACTTCACATCGCCTGTTACAATATCACTCCAAATGAAAATCACTCATGAATCGTCAGTATCATTCGGTGAATAAATACGTAATAAAATGAAATCGCAGTATGTCAGAGGTGTTCTTGTCATCGTGTCTTCTAGGAATCTGTCTGATTCTAAAAGAAGAGCATACAAGTATACAAGCCCGGCTTCCCGAGCCGCTGTAGTATTCCAGTCTCGTAACTGCAGCGTCCTCTCTTTCCTTTTTCACATAAATTCTTTATTTCTACTTTTTTTAACAATTTCGTTTACTCATTTGTAACGTTTCCTTCCTTTTTCCTCGATTCTTTCCTCCATAATGTTAGGTAGCGAAAAGCACAAATAAATGCATTTTCAAAGAAGGTTTTTTACTGGATGAAAATGGATCAGTAATCCCGCTTGCGCTATCGGTATACGCTGAGGGGGCACCAGTAATGGATAATATGATATGAGGATGAAGCAAATCAGTTGGCCCATCGTGATGAATTCATCAAAAATTAACCACGATGATTTCCAGGAGGAACCGCGTGGAGATTGACCTGTTAGAGTATATTTCTAGTAACGACTCTGTCAGATCTCAATAGTAACAATGAAGGTTGATGTCAGGCAGGCTGCCGGTCGTAACACTATAAGCCAAATCTGTTTGTATACGATTCGTCCGGTTTCAGGCGACACTTAAAATCGAAAAATCATAACGCGAA